ATTAAAACATCCTTATTTATGAACACGTATTGTAATTACCTCCCAATGTAAGCCTACCGACCACCCTATGCATTAGTACTCTAAACAGAATCAAAGTTTTCTTGTTCCTCATGCACTACTGCAGGGTTGACCAATCAGGCTGACTTACGAAGCCAGGAGTTTCAGCTGAAAAACAGTTGACAAACATCTAGTAGCAGATTTAGAATTTAGGTTGTAGAGGGGTATCAGCCGTTGGAGATGTCCTTCTTCCCGGCAAGATGCTGTGCTAAAGTGGAGTTGCGGTATCCCATCCGCTGAATCTGAGTAGAGAGTAAAGCAGTGAGCTAGTGATTGTGCTAAGCAGGTTCCCTTTCAATAACGAGACGAGGCTACGTTTTGAAGGGTGAAGTAGAACTGATTTAATGACCACACAGCAGATGCTTTTATGCAGGTTTTACAGTAAGGTTACCACCCACTGGACCTTGTGGGGCACTGACAAATGAAATACAGCAGCCAATCAGTTACAATTGTACCGTAAAAGCACACCCATTAGTTACAATACATTCCTCCCCTCGGCTTAGGAGATAATTGAGTTAATCATTATATCAGCTCAATTATCTCAAAGCTAAAAAAAAAAAAAATATATATATACTTTTAGGCTTTTTCCATAACTTTAAAACTATACATAGAATCTTGATAAAAACATTGGTTATTAAAACATCACATTTTAATAACCAATACATTCAGGGGAACAATATATCCAAAAATGGCACGAATTGGACCAGTGGTTCGGGAGTTAGTGAAAAGGTGGATGTGACCGACCACTCGCACATTTCTCTGTCCAAAATAGTTCCACAGTTTCAGTCTCTGCGGTCGGTCTATTCTCCCTTTGTAATAAGTCTAAAATTCACAAACGGAACTGTTCGTGCCTGCCATCACGGGATGTAGTTTGTCCGGATGAACAAACTCACAAATTAGCGCCTTCTTCGTATGAGTCTAGTCGAACGCACAGAAGGTAGAAGTTCAGCAGTGTTCGTGGAAAAAGGTAGCCGAAAACAGTTCCACGCGGTCAATGACAAAACACCGCTGAGTGCGTTCGACTAAACAAAATGGCCGCTTCCACGTGTTCGCACAAACGAACGCTGACCACCCTGTTAAACCATTAGAATGTTCAGGTGTTTGCTGTTTACGCGGGTCAAGAGGGTTAATTGGTGCCACACTCCTGCTCTGGGTGGTCTATCGTTCGACAGAAAATTCGGTATACGAACGATATGGCCAAATACACGATTAATCCTTTTGAGTGAATACAAATAAATGAATAGTCTTTGTTCACAGTTCCATGCAGCAAATATAAAGCTTAAACAGGGGTTTTGGTGCACACAGTTGGGTTAGGGTTTCCAGGCAATAATAGGGGGTTTTGTTACAAGAATCATTGCAGAAGTTTTACCCCATTTCTTCCATAGGAACTTTCATCTCATTATACATGTCCTTGCATGGAGATGGCCAGTGGAATCCACATTGAGTGAAACTACTAAAGAGGAAGCGGCTTCTTTCCAGAAACATTTTCACTATAGTACCTGTGGCTTTACACTGATCAGCCACAACATTAAAACCTCTGCCAAGTGAAGTGAATAACATTGATTATATTGTTACAATGGCATCTGTCAAGGGGTGGCATATATTAGGCAGTAAGTGGCAGTCAGTTTTTGAATTTCACGTGTTGGAAGCAGGAAAAATGGACAAGTGAAAAGATCTGAGTAACGTTGACAAGGGCCAAATGGTGATGGCTATATGACTGGATCAGAGCATCTCCAAAATGGCAAGTCTTGTGGGGTGTTCCCAGTAAGCAGTGGTTAGTACCTACCAAAAGTGCAAGGAAGGACAAAAAGTGAACCGGTGTGAGGGACATGGGCACCCCAAGGATCACTGATGCATGTGGGGAGGCTATTCCATCTGGTTTGATCACACAGAAGAGCTACTGTAGCTCAAATTGCTGAGAAACATAATGCTGGCCATGATAGAAAGGTGTCAGAACACAAAGTGCATAGCAGTTATCTATGTATGGGGCTGCAGAGCTGCAGACCGGTCAGAGTGCCCATGTTGACCCCTGTCCACCACCAAAAGCACATTCAATAGGGATGTAAGAGTCAGAACTGAACCATGGAGCATTGGAAGACACTTGCCTGGTCTGATAAATCAGATTTTTGTTTAGATTATATGGGTGGCCAGGTGTGTGTGGGACGTTTACCTGGGGAAGAAACAGCAGCAGGATACACTATGAGAAGAAGTCACACCAGCAGAGGCAGTGTTATGTTCTGGGCAATGTTCTGCTGGGAAACTTTGGGTCCTGGTATTCATGTGGATGTTACTTTGAAACGTACCACCTACCTAGAGATTGTTGCAGACCATGTACATCCCTTCATCACAATGGTGTTCCCTGATGACAGTAGCCTCTTTCAGCAAGATTATGCTCCCTGCCACACTATGATGATTGTTCAGGAATGGTTTGAGGAACAAGACAAAACGTTCAAAGTGTTGCCTTGGCCTTCATATTCCCCAGATCTTAATCTGATTGCACATCTGTGGGATGTGCTGGAACAACAAATCTGATCCATGGAGGTGCAACTACGCAACCAGCAGGACCCAAGGAATATGTCTTGGTTCCAGATACCACAGGACAAATTCAGTGGTCTTGTGTCATAATTGGCAGCACAAAGGGGACCTACATGATATCAGGCAGTAGGCAGGTGGTTTTAATGTTATGGCTGATCAGCATCAAGAGAAATCAACACTTTTATAAAATACCTTTGTTACACAGCCGGGGGATTTCCTGGTTTGCCTGATTTGAACTATACGGCAAAGCAACAGTGAGGGGCTGCACCGTATTTGGAGCTTGCCATTTGTACACCGTGCATTGAGCAGTAAGACAGCTGACTGATAATTGTGTGAATGGCCAGTAAAGTGCACGTGGAATTTGTCCTCAAGACTTCTCAATGAAGATAATGTCCAGCTTAGCCAGAAATATCCAACAAAAAGGGTATAATTTTTACAGTAACTGCATAAAGTTATACAGCTAATGCAAGCCAGTTTGATTGTTTTGCTTCACAATTAGAACTTTGCCCCAGAATATAATGACAAAGTGCATTCATAAAAAAAAACAAAAAAAAACAAACATACACAAAATACAGTATTTTTATGACTATTATCCTTGTAGACTCCCGAGTGTCTTGCATTTGCAATTGAGATTATACATTTCAGAAAGTGTATTTTAAATTGCAGAAACTGATGGAATAAAAACAAATTAGACACTTAATAATTACATAAGAACTCAGGTACAGTAGTATTCATTTTATAAATCTATCAAATCACATAGAAGCTATGCAAAATATTTCCCCTTTCTCCTCTATGTTTATCAGAACAAAATTATTTTATTTTAATAAAAGTCTACGAATGTCTGAATGTTAAAACATTTCTGAAAGGTAGTGTAAAATGTTGTAAATAAAAATTATAAAGAATTTGACTTATTGAACGAGACAGAATTTTGTATGGCAAACAGTGATATCTGACATTTGGAAAATAATATGTACCATATGTACAATCCAAAAAAACCCCAAGTAGAAACAGTATAATATTACCTAGTGTAGATTGCT